CTCTATTAGATCAGAGAAATTCCTCAAAATGGGAAAACCATTAAGAAAACTTCACCCACTCTTCCTGGAAAGGGTCAGTCCTGACAATAGCCATCCAGGGCTCAGGCAGTCAGGGATCCAGGGAGGAGAATTCACCAGACATAAAGAGCAGGCCACCCCATTGTGAAGCTTCCAGAAAACTTCCCATGAATTCCTTTCCTTTAAAGGCCTTTGCCTTTTCAAAAGATTCTTTGCTGAGAATTTCTCTGCAGACCTTCCCAAGTGTCTTCAGAGTAGTCAGGCCGGGGGCCTCCCCTGGTGGCTCAGTGGTTGAGCGCTGGTCTGAGAAGCTGCCCACAGCCTTTGCAGTGCCAGTTCGTTGGTTTGTTCTCCAGCCGCCAGAGAGGGTCCCACATGGTGCGCAGACCTCTCCTGTCTCGCCTGCTGCTCCCCTCAGCAGTGTATTTCTTTGTCATTCTGCCTGCTCTGCTCCCCGCTCTGGCTCTGGTGAATTCTCTCACCCTCCCACGCTTCTGACTGTACCCAGTGATTGTATAAATAAATCTTTAAAAAAAAAAAAAAAAAAGAGTAGTCAGGTCGGGCAGATTGGCTCTACCTGAGGATACAGGTGTGAGCAGGTGAAGCAGAAGAACCTTGAGCAAGTCTCATTTCCAAGTTTGGAAAGTTGGAATAACCACTCATCCCCAGAGGGAGGCAGAATGCAGCAGGGGAGCCTGTGAGGCCCAAAAGCTTGGAAGATTTGGGGATCCCCCTGCTCCCCTTGCCTGCCACCCAGATCAAGATCACCTAGCTTAGAAGTCCAGGGACAATTCTTCAAAGACCTCCAACTTCCCTGCCCTCCCCTTCAGCAGCCTAGCACTGGGATTTTGAATTGAAATTCCTGATCAGAGGACAGGATAGCCTGATGGGAGGTGGCGATGAGCAGAGGTTGGCTCCTGCGATGTGGAGCCACCAGCAGGATTCAAACATGGCAGCAAGTCTGATTAAATTTATAACTTTGGACACACCATTTCCCCTTTCTGTACCTCTGTTTTGCCATCTGTAAAATGGTGGTAACTACAGTCGCCACATTAAATGAGATCTGTGGCTGGCACATTAAGATGACTTGGTGTAATAGTGCCATTATCAATGCTGTTACTATTATCATCACCATTATCACCGTCACCATCACCATCTTTACCATCGCCATCATCATCTTTAATGAGACTTTGGGGACAAAAGAGGTCTTCAGCAGCACATTTCAACACCCGTAGACTCAAGCCATGTGACTCATAGCCTCAAATTCAGTCTTATCACTCCCTTAACTTTTCATTTTCTTATCTTTGGGTACCTTCTTCAAAAGATTGTCCAAACATCTGCCCTCCATCAAGCAGCAGCCCAGAGTGGATGGTCAGACTTCAGACAAGGAAGCAGGAAAAGCTAATAGCAGGCAGCAGTTCGAAAATCAGATTGAAATGCCACCTGCAGTATGCACGCACATGAGCTGGGACTTCAGGATCACTGATCAAATGTTGCAGATGTGGCATCTGCTCGAGAGAGAGAGAGTGCCCAGGCTGCTCACAATGTTCTGCTTGTGTGGGTTACCTGCCAGCTGCTAGGAGATCCCATGCTAACATTACCAAGGGGGGCTTGTGCCAAGAAAGGGGCTTTGCTGCATGGTACACATATAATCCTTCACAGGTAAGGATGACTCTGCTGGCCTGATATGGCAATGACAGAAGCCTCATGGAGCCTGGAGAGGTTTTGCACAGATCTTTTTCCAAGCATCTCCTCCACCACCACCCATTTGCCCCGGGATAGCAACACCCATGTGCAAGGCATCCAGAGAAGTTGAAGAAGATGATCGTAGACCTGAGACAGAGAGCCTGGAGGGCTCGAGGGGGCGGTGCCCCACACTGCCCTCAGTGACATGGCCCATGCACCCTAACATGCACTGACAGGCCATCTCACTGAGCTTTCGATTCCGAGGATGGTGAAATGAAGATGGGGCCCTCCAGCACAGCGCTGATAGGAACGGGAGGAAGGAGGAAAACTGCCCAGGGACCTCGAGGCATAGACAGAAAGGAACTGAACGTGGCCCGGGTCCCACATAGGAGGCCTGCACTCTGGGCTCCAGCGCAGTGCTGTCCTCATCGATGAAGATGACCAGAAAAGGGAGTGGTGACTGGGGGCAGGGACAGAGGCATAGAGGCCAGAGAGGCAGGGAGCAAAGAGAGGAGACGGGAAGCTAGCTGACCTGAGATAGGGTGCCTGGGGGGTGGTTGACATATTCCATGCAGAATCTCCCCTGCCCTATGGGCTGCCCCAAACCCATGCTGTGAGTCCATACTGCAGAGAGTGTCTGTGGTTTCGTCAGGTCTTGCAGATTATGTCTCTTACATGCCATGGTCTGTGCAAGTGTCAGGCCCTCAGTGTGTGTACTGAACAGCCTGGGCAACCCTACACCATGACCCCAAATGTATCCAGCTCTCTGGAATCTGTCCTCCAACCTTGGCAGCCTCTGCCCAAGCTTTTCTGCTGATATAAAGACAGGTGGCAAAGATGTGGAATAAGGGCAAGTAGCAAAACCCAAAGATGGGGAAATGAGTCAGGGGTCCCTGCACGTGGCCCCTCCACCTGTGCCACCCTGCGGGCAGCTGAGTTAGGAGGTCCTAGGCCCTCATTCACAGGTAGGCCCATTTGGGTCACAAGCACAGAGCTGCCCAAATCAGACCCCTCCAGCTGCCCAAATCAGGATCCTCCACCAGGCCAGCCTGGAGGGGGATCTTGGTGGGTTCCTACCCAACAACCAGTCCCCAACATCATCACCCTGTCTGCCTGCCCTTTCTTCCTCACAAACTGCTCAGACATCCTGCTAGGACAAACCAGGTTCTGTCACCCAGACTCAGGAGATAAATTATGCTTGGTCTAAACTAATCTTAGCCCTCCTATTCCTCCCTACTAATAAGAGTCCAGGAAATGTCATGTGACTAAGCTCTGCTCAATGAGATATTAGAAATCTGCCAAGATTTTGAGGTTGCTGATTGAAAAAAAAAAAAAAGTAATAACAACACTGTAGGCAACACCCCTCTTGGCCTGCCTTCCTATTTTGTGTGAGGATATGAGGGCTGGAGCAGTCACAGCCACTTTGTGATAAACAGAAGGCCAAATGTTATCATGCTAAAGAAGGCAGGGTGGAAAGAAAGAAAAAGCCTTGGTCTCTAGGGCTGCCATGGAACTGCTGGGTGAAACCTAGGTATTTCTGTAGCTTAAGTTATTCCTGGTGGAGCTTCCTGTTATAGGCAGCTTAGCTGAGACTACAATCAGCCAGTTCCTTTCCCTTACTCCAGGCTAGGATCTTGTCCTGCCTGCCAGGACCCAGGTTTGGGGTGCTCTTGACCATAGGCCAAAGCAAGTACACATATTCTTCTTGAGGATAGTCCACACATGCAACCCCTCCTCTGCCTGTGGTTACCGGGAGAGCTACTCACTCACAACCTGGGCTCTGTGGGCTCGAGCTCATATTCTATTCCTTCTGCTCACTAGTCAGCTGCCTTCTTGGCACACCACAGCCTTTCTGTGCCTCCATTTCTTTACCTGGAAAATGGGGGTGATGTTTTTTTTTTAAACCGTCTTATTTATTCACAGGGTACCATAGGATCAAAAATAGATGGGAAAAGATTAGCAAGAGCTTTTTGTACATTTTAAAGTGCTACATAAATGTTAATTAGTATTATTACCGAAATAATATCTAGATGGGAAAGCACTTCAGAAAAAGGCAAATATAAATTACTATGGAATTTTTTTCCATAAATTACTATTTAATTTTTTTAAATAAATTTTATTTATATATTCCCCATACAATTGCAACCCCCTTATTTTGACCCCAATTCCTCCCTTCCCGCCCTCCACCCCCCATAGAGTGTCGCTGGTTCATAGTTTTTTGTTGATTTTGATTTTCACTTTCTTATAGTTATTCATTTTCCTGGTCCCTTATTTAAGTTTTCTAGATTCCTGCTATGAGTGAGACCATCCGGTATTTTTCTTTTTCTTTCTGGCTTATTTCGCTGAGCATGAGCCCTTCCAGCGCCATCCATGTTGCTGCAAATTGCATGTGTTTATCTTTTTTGATTGCTGAGTAATATTCCATGGAGTATATGTACCACATCTTCTTGATCCAGTCATCTATTTTTGGGCATTTGGGTTGTTTCCAAAGCTTAGCTATTGTAAACAGTGCTGCTATAAACATAGGGGTGCAGGTGCTCTTTGGAATTGATGTTTCTGTGTCCTTTGGGTAAAGACCTAGGAGTGGAATTGCTGGATCATATGGAAGCTCTATGTTTAGTAGGTCCAGAAATCTCCACACAGCTCTCCATAGTGGTTGGACCAGTTTGCACTCCCACCAACAGTGCAGGAGAGGAACTCTGCTTTAAATGGGCGAATTACGGTATACGAATTTTATCTCAAAAAGCTATTATTAAAAATGACTTAATGGGGGCCTCCCCGGTGGCGCAGCGGTTGAGCGCTGGGTTGCGAGGCTGCCCGCTGCCTCTGCGGCGCCGGTTCGATTCCCGGCTGCTCCCCGGCCACCGGAGGAGGGTCCCACATGGCGCGCAGACCTCTCCTGCCGCCCGCTGCTCCCCTCAGCAGTGTACTTCGGTCCTTCTGCCTGCTCTGCTCCCCGCTCTGGCTCTGGTGAATTCTCTCACCCTCCCGCGCTTCTGACTGTACCCAGTGCATGTACAAACAAAACAAACGAACAAACAAATAAATAAATAAATAAAACATGCCTCTATAAAAGAAAAAAAAAATAAAAAAATAAAAATGACTTAATGTGTGTGTTTCCACATGTATATAGATAGTCTTATGACACCAGGTAGTCTATGACACCAGGTAGAACTTCAAGCTAGTGGCAGAGAGAGAGAGTCACTGTTAGCAAAATCATAATTGTGATACAAAGGGAGGGCTCTAGAACAGGTAGGCCTTGTTAGAATTCTACCTCCACTGCTTACTAACTGCGTGACTTCAGGCCCATCGCTCATCCTTTCTGAGCCCCATGTCAACTATAAAATGGGGGGCTAGCTAACTTACAGAACTGGAAAAGAGCACCTGTGTGTTGCTGGCACAAATATGGGTGTGCAATGAACTTCGGTCCCCATCTCAGGAGACGCACAGAACCAGGTAGCAGAGCCACTTGCCTTTACCCAGATGTACCCCAGTCCAGTGTCTTCTTCCAAGGACAGCTGCCACAACTTGCCTCAGAAGCCCTTAGGTCCTTCTAATGGAGCCCCTGAATTTGCATAGCCCCCACTGGACCTGGATGCTACCACCCTGTGGCTCCCTGCTAGTCCCACTAACACACACCTGGACAGGTGCCTCCAGGCTGATCTCTTGAATCCTTGCCCCACATCCTGAGAGGAGACACTTGTTTCCACTCCTGTTTCACGAAGCCCATTTGATGGAGAAGCAGAGAGTGTGCCGTCTAGACTCGTCCCCCAAACCTCTCAGACCATCCCCCTCATCTCTCTTCCCCTCTTTTTGCAAGTGAGGCCTCAGAGAGCAAGAGGCCTCGAACCTCAACAGACCCCCAGATGTTCCCTACTTTCCACATTAACATCCCTCGGATCTGGGCATCTGGGACCCACTGCCCACACTGACACCCTTCAGATGTGATGGGTGCTGTGCAGTAGAAGCACCTCTGGCCCCACGCTCTGCAGCTAAGCAAGGCAGGAGGGCCTGTAACCAAGGCAGACTTGATTTGGTGGCTGCCCCGTGACAAGCATCTCGGACTTGACAGCCCAAGTCCAAGTGCAAGTGCTTCACCTGGGCTCTTGGAGTTTCCCATGCAGCAACCCCATCCCCTCAATCTCTTACTCTCCTCCCCATACATACACCGCACCCCCATTCCCTCCTGCATGCAGGCTTTGCCGCACTGTCCCCAAAGTGCTGAGATCCCAATCTTCCTATTCCTGTTTTCTAGGGTTTGACACATGCCCCAGCTGCTCCACGAAACCTTCCTGGACCCCTTATCTGATGGCTGGTAGTATTTATTGTCCTTCTCACACTGGAAAGCCACGCTCATGTGCTCCCACGTGCATTCGCTCAAGCGAGTTGCTCTAACACAAAACGTCCTGGGTGCTCTCCCGGTGCAAAGCAGTAGACAGGCATCACCGAGAGACACACGGTCCTACTCCCCACAGAGCAAGTGGGGCAGGGACACCATGTGGAACCTCCAGCTGACAGCACCTTCCCAGGGCTCTGGGAGCCACCCGCGCAAGAACCCCCTCTTTCTTCCCCCATCTGCCCTGAGGCCTAGAGGCAGTCTGTGTCACACAGCCTTTAGGAACTCGTCCCTACCCTGAACACACCCCCGGGAAAGCTCATGTTCCAGATCAGGAAGCTGCAGCTCAGAAGCAAAGCAACTTGCTATGACCCCCCACTAGTAAGTACCTGACCCTAGACCCATACCTGGTTCGTGTGACCCCAGAAACCACAAGCATTTCGTCTACCTCATGTCGGGTTTCAACAGTATATTAGTTGACTCATTACAGCTGTATCGCTCTTCCCCCGCGTGTTTCAACTTCTGCCTGCGTCTCGTCTCGGGGTCTCCTCCCCCTCCTCGCCCGGCCGGTGGACCCTTCGCAGCTACAGGGTTTCATCTTGGGGCATCCTCTTTCTTAAAGAGCTCGTCTCCGTTTCCTATTTCTTGGCGCCACCTGGCGGCCACGGAGAGCACAGCGTGTTTTTTATCAAGCGGGCAGAGGGAGGCGGTCTCAAAGCCTCAAAAGTCTGCAGATCCTTTGAAGGTCACACCCTCAGCAAAACCGTGCTTTGGGCACAGTCCTCTCCTCCCCCCACCGGAACCCTCATTTGCACCGACTCCACTGCAATCCACCAAACACAGACTGGGAAGCCTCCCCTCCATCACCAGGTAGTCTCCTGGGGCTTCCTGTGCTGCTGAGCACAGCCTGATATAAACAGGGGGTGCCCCGCCTTTCAGTGGAGTGTCTTATCACCTTATGGCTGCTCTGCCATGCCGCAGGTCTGGAAGGGGACACCCCAGCAGCAGAGGTGTCCCAAGCAACTCTAAGTTGGCCAGTGAAGGGTCCACCCCTGTTCTACCATCAAAGTCTTCTTACAAAGAGGAAACACAGTGAGAACAGTCCTCACTCTAAGGCATTGTTTTAAGTGATAAATGCAGAATACTAAATTGTACACAGTGAGCGAGCTTTCATTCTTTTTATGTAAACTTCATACTTTACAAAATTGCAGTAAAAAGAGCTGGAAGAATGCTAAAGTATCAGTGAGGGTTATTTGTGAATGGTGGGGTTTTTAATAGACTTTTCTATATATTCTAATTTTTTCACAATTATCCTGGAATATCTTTATCGTGGAAGTGGGAGAAGGAAGTTATGGCTCTTTGGAAAATTGAAAATATTTCCTGTGATGCACTGGGGAGCTATGGCATAAGAAGTTCCCTTGACCTCGAGGTTGAAAGCCCTGATCAGCCACTCATAGGCTGAGTTGCTTTGCTGTCCTTCACAAAGTAGACAGAATTATAGCTACTGACCTCATAGTGTTACTCTAAAGGCTAAATAAAAGATCATGTATATAATAACTTAGTATGTGGAGTAAGTGTTCGATCAATGATCCCTGAGTGAATGTTTTATATCCTTAGGACTGAACAATGCAAATAACAGAAACCCAACTCGGTCCAGTTTAGGGGAAAAAGAGGGACAATGCTATTGTTACGGTATTAAAAACTATGAAGATTGGGGTTTCAGGCACAGCTGTATCAGGGTGCTGAAATGGCATCTGCTTTCTCCATCCTCAGTTCTTCTTTTCCATGGACTAGCTCAAATCTCAAGCCAGATCTTCCAAAGTGGTATGGGGGCCCTTCGTAACTTCAGCTCTCACCTCACAGCCTTGTCAGGGAGAAAGCTCTTTCCCAGTAATTCCAACCAAAGTTCCTCAGCCCTAATGCAAACTGTGAGACAACAGTCTGACTCTCAAGGACATCAGAAGCCCTCCCCTAAGAATGGAGGTGGGGGTGAGGATCTGTTCTACCCCAAACCATGTGATTACTTGGGGTCTTTCCCCAAAGAAAATTTGGAGTACAGTCACAGGGGAAGGAAGAAACAGAAATCACCCCCATTCTACACACTAAGCAAATAGCATAGTGCAGAGGCTGTAGCGAACATGGGGTCGCACCTTCCTTTAAGATAAACATTCTACGCATTAGCTCCTGGAAGGAGCACTGGGCTGGGGCAGCAGGAGGTAAGCATTTAACTTGCAGCTGATCACACAAAACCATGATCACATAAAACCATGGCTCAGTTTCTGAATTGCACACTTGGAGGGGATGGTGGGTAGATTATATCTGATTACAGCTGTGATAAATTAATTCAAAAAATTGTTTAGTCTTAAGAATAAAGGAAGGTCTGATACACACAGCAGCTGGAATGAACCTCAAAAACATGATGCCAGTCACAGAACGTCACCTACCATGTGATTCCATTTCTACAAAATGTCCAGGAAAAACTAAAAGCAGGTTGCTGTTGCCAGGGTCAGGGGAGAATGGGGACAGGGAGTGATTGGAGTTTCCCGCCAGGGAGACAAAGATGTTTTGTAACAATATAGAGGTTATGGTTATACAACACTGCGGACAAGCTGACTGCCACTGAATTGTATACTTTTATCAAAAGGGGAAGGGGCAAGGAGTTAAATTGGGTAAAAGAGGCTGCTGTATGGTAAACCATAGAATTGGACTCTGCTCCGTGGCGAACTTAATGTAGTCAATACAGATGCTAATTTACAGAGATGCACACCTGACAATGTTTTCATGCAATGTTACTTCGATTAAAAAAATTTTTAATGAAAACACAAATTAAATAACTACATAAAATATTTTTAAAGTTCTTATATTAAATCACAGTGTACACTTTAACTATCTTACAGGTGTATTTGCCAATTATAGTCCAATAAAGCTGGGGGCAAAGAGTTAATTTTTTTTTAATGGGCAGAGGCGCTAAATAGGCCCTTCTCCAAAGAAGACATACACACAGGACCAACAGGCACATGAAAAAATGTTCGTCATGGCTTATCATCAGGGAAATGTAAATCAAAACCACAAGCAGACACCACCCCACACCAGTGAGAATGGCCTCTATTAAAAACAAGTGCCGGAGGGTGTGGAGAAAAAGGAGCCCTCCCACACTGCTGGTTGGCATGTAGACTGGTCCAGCCCCTACAGAAAGCAGTGTGGAGGTTTCTCAAGAGACTGAAAATGGATCTGCTATATGACCCAGCAATTCCACTCCTAGGAATACAAATGTAAGGGGCAGGAACAGACACGGTGCAGGGTTCCTGATCCCATGCAGACCGGGTAAAGGAGGAGTCAGAGTCCTCAGTGGTTTTGCAGGTTTTTATTGGGGTTCAGTGGGTACGTGGCAGGCCGGGGTGCTGGGGGGGCTGGGAGGCTGGCAGTCCTCCCAGCCCCCAGCAAATCTTCACTCTATCTGGGCTCTCTGGCGTTCTCTGCTTCTGCTTCGGGCTTCTTCTCTTTCGGCTTCTGCTGCTGCTTTCTCAGCTTCTTGCGTCCCTGTGACGCCGCCCTTATAAGCACAGTCTTAGCGCAGGTGTACCCACTCCAGGTGCCCGCCATCAGGCATGCATTCAGGATCACGGGGTTCCCTCATCTATCCTGATGGCGGGAGGGCAGAAAAGCCTGATACCTTTTACCTTATCCTACAACAAAGAATCAAAAACACTAATTCCAAAGAAAACTTGTACTCCCATGTTTACTGCAGCACTACTTCCAATAGCCAAGATACGGAAAACCTAAGCACCCAAAAAACAAATGACACACACAAATGACACACACATACTATTCAGCCACCAAAAAAGATAAATTCATGCCATTGGTAGCTATGTGGATGGGGGGGGGAGGTGGGGGGGATTATGCTAAGTGAAATAAGCCAGCAGGCAACAGATAAATAGCCAATGGTGCCACTTATAGGTGGAGCATAGTGAAAGCAAACAAAGGGTCAGACCATGAAGCTGACCTTAGAACTGAAGCATCCAGAGGTGTGGGGGGTGGGGGGGAAGGGGAGAAAGTTGTGGGGAGAGAGCACAACAGACTATGGGGGAGGACTATGGGTGCTTTGGTGGTGGGAGAGCTTGGGGTCACTCCGCCAAAGAGGGAAAACCTGTGCTTCCAGAGGATAACAGGATATAAAACAATGGTACTTTTAAAAAAAAAAATAGTGGTTTACCTCAAATTTACCTCAATTCAAAAGCAACTTTTTCTTTTTAACTCTCTGCTAGCCAAATGAAACCTCCATGTGCCACACTGGGCCCAGTCCTTGGGGGTTTTGTCTTGCCCAGGTCTCTCCCAATGCTCAGCAACCGGCTGATCCGGGTTTACAGTCAAGAGGAAAGGGGCCTGCAGTCTCCACCAAGTGGAACCTCCCAGACATAACTGGAGGCCAGTAAATAAAAGTCCGCTGGAGCTGGAAGCGGGCCAAGGTTTTCCTTTTTTTCTAACTGCCCTTTGCCACAAAGAAGGGCAGCAAGTCGCATCTGGGTGACAGCGAATGGACTTTGTTGACATGGCCCAACTTTAATTTTTGTGAAGTTAATAATTAGGCTGTCATCCCTCTGCTCCAGAGCAATTAGTGGCCTGCTGAGGGGATGAATGGGCCCTATTATCAAGGGAAATTATAAATAGAAGCCAGCGCAGGGGGGTGGGAGCCTGCACAGCGTCACCCCGCCCCCCACCCCACGCCTAGTCTGTCCGACTGTGTTGACTTGCGTCTGGTTGACAGCTTGAATCCCAGCTGCCATTCGAAAGGGCTCTAAATTCTGCTTCTGTCATCCCAGCCTGACTTTTTATGCTGTCCAGAGCAGAACCGAGCAGCCCAGCTGGGCAGCAGGAGAGCCGGACTGAGATAAAAGCCTTTGTGGCAATTGCCTGCCGACTCCAGGGTCTGAAGGTGTCTGGGGCCGAGCAGAGGGAACTGAGCTGGCCTGACAGGCCGGGGTGTTGGGGACACTGAGTGACAGACTGCCCAGTGGGTCCCCAGGTCAGCACAGGTTCCCAGCCAGGAGTAGCACCTCCCAAAGGGAAGGCTGAGGGGGAGAGGCTGCCCTGGGTCCCGCTGGGCTCCTTTCTCAGCTTGTCTTAACTCTGCCAATATGTGGGACAAGTACATGATTCTCCCTGCAAACTTTTCTATCAGATCAAAACAGAATCTGGTAGTTCAAGAAGGAAACCATGTGTAAAAGAATAGCGGTCCCCAAAATGCAAATACTTACAACTAGAGAGCAGCTATAATTGTTTCATCTTCTATCTCTATCTAAAAGAGCTATAATAATATTTAACATTTATATATTTTCAACATACCTGGTACTTTTCATATATGAACTTATTTAAAACCCTCAAAACAGTCCTATTTTTACCCCCATTTCACAGATTTGTAAACTAAGGCTAACTTGTCCAAGGTCACAGGGCTGATAGGCATAATTCAAACCCAGACACTTTGACTGAAGTTCATACTCTTACCTACTATTTCAAGGGCTTATAAGCTAAGTCAACCAGGGGAAGGAGACAAGAGGGAGTGGTGGGGACTGTGGCAACAACACATTCTGACTAGAGGGGGCAGCAGCCACCAAGTGGGCTACCTTACAGGGATAGGGTCTCCAATTTTTTAGGAGAAGCCAGAAATCAGAATTTAACAAGAAATTTGTGTTTCAAATACTAGCAAGTAATTCAAAACTCTTAAAAATAATGTGCAGACCAAACAAAGCACCTCCTGGGCCACCAGTTTGCAATTATGATGCAGAGCTATGAACCTGGCTCACTGGACCCAGAGAGATGTGCCGTGGAAGTCAAAGTCCAGCCTCTTCACTCTCCCAGGTATCTTTCCTTCCATGGAGAGAAATGGGAGAGGGGAGAGACATCCTCTGCCCAAGCAGGGCTCTCAGCTGGGCTCCACCAGCAGCTATGTGACTTTGGACAAATTACTTACCCTCTCTGAGTCCCAGTGTGCTCATTTATTAACTCAAGATGATAGTTTCTGTGCTGCTGGTTGCCTGTATGAAAGGGCTGCAGGAGCCAAGGTTGGTAGATCATAAGGCCCCTCGCAAGGATGGGGGCCACCTGCATAGGTGATTTCAGTCTGTGGTCGTCTGGGGCAGGTAGAAGGGAGGGAGCCCCAACTCCCATACCAGAGGCCCATCTCATGGCTGCTCCCCCCATTTTCTACCTTTCTACTCACACTCCAGGTGATTTCAGGACAAACGCATATTGCCCTGGAGTCAGCATGCCCCGAGTCCCTGCTGACCCCATCTCCACACCTCCCAGGAGAGAGAGGCCTGTGTTGGCCACTAGAGGTGAAGGCCAGCCTCTCACTTCCGCAAAGACACAGAACTTAAGAATTACAGAAATGTTTATAAATATAATTATATAATCTAAAATGCTCTAAATATTATAATATACATTATATGATAATATCAACAAACTATAGGAAATGAGTCCCCCACCCCCATAAATAA